AGTAGTCCCCGAAGTTTTGGAACATACAAGAATGTCTTTGTCGACAGCCGCCATCGTTTCGGACGCAGTTCCCATGGTAGCCGACCAGGTCGGGTCGCTCTATTGGAGTGGGTTTGCTCGATGTCGAATAGTGGGTTCGTTCGTTCGTGGGGTTTATGTATGGTTTTATTTGGCAAGAGGGCCTAACAAGTTTTGTAAATCGAAACAATTGGCTCTGCCTTTATAAAAATAAACACGCAAAAAATTAATAATATTTTAAGTCAATTTATCAATTCAAGTATTCAGTATCAATTTTTTTTGTTAAAATTATTATATTTTCTGTGCTAAAGATATAACAAACACAATCAAAATATAAAGCCCATAAACTTGTGGAAACAACATGCAAAGTTAAATGTTTATATATCCATTAGATTTATTATATACTAGCACACTCGACGAACTCCGTTTCGCCACCAGATGGTTTCGTGAGAAAGATGAAGAAATTTTTGTTTGTTTTAAAGGAAAAAATTGATTTTATTACAAAACAGTAATGACTTTATTTTGATTACAAAAATGAAGTGTTTTTTAGTTGAACTTCTATAAGTAAATGATAGTGAATCCGCAAATTATCCGTTTCATTGAAGTGCTCTTTGGTAAACCCCATTTTTTGTTTTTTGATCTGACGTTAACACAAACAAAGCAGATGGCTTTCCAACTCGTGAACAAGCAACGTTTAACTGCCCATGTGAAAAACAATGATTTTCTAAATAATCTATTTGAAATTTAGCGCAAACACTAAGCGATTAGCCTTACGACTTATTGCGAACGCAAGGCGAACTGGAAATTGCAATCGTTTGAAGTCAAACGGAAGACCAGTCGGAATCATTGGTATGTCACCAAATCCGTGATTGAATGCAATATTTGATTAAATGGTAAAATTCAGTGCGTGTACATCATTATTCTTTGTGGCAAGAATTGCTCGTTGACTTAACCAAGCATAATTCTGATAACTCTCACTAACGTCATTACTCGAATTTTTAATTACGGTGCGTGAAGTTCCAGCAATTTGCATTAAGGCACGATGCCACGAGACCTTTCCGACGGTTGCAAAATTGTCGAAATTGGTTCATGCGTTCTGGAGTTATTTCATCAGGAAGGAAAACCCGACTTATTTTTATATATATGCAGATTAATTAGCTAGAGAATAACATTACATACATTTCACAAATTGGAGGATATATTTAAATGTAACTTTAAATTAGAGACGTTTCGAATTTATTTATAAGTACTTATCTTTTAGTCTAATTTAAAAATAAAAAATAGATTAAAACAAATAATGTACAAAATTGAAAATCGTATAGGTAATGCACGTAATAAATATTTTTGGTATATTATATTTAGTTTATGTCAATCATTCATAATTTACTTATCAGCAGTACCGCAAATTAAATTTGTATACCTCTATTTATCACATACAAAAAACTTATCACACAGCACCTTTTAAATAATCACTGAAATTCTGACTTTATGCCAAACTATTTCCGTCTGACTGAACATAATAAAAAAATCATACATCTAAAAAGTATTCGTGAAATCTCAACGATTTGATTGCTGTCAGGACAAAAACATTTAAAAAATTCATGAAATGATATAATTATAAATTAAATATGATATGTTTTACTTCAACAACATTCTGCAATTCAAAAACAGCATACCTAAACGTGAATAATGGGTTCTCGGGCGGTTCCGCACATTTTTATGAATTGCTAAAGAATGAAGTCAAACGAAATGGTTTGGTCATTTTAATACGATTATGTCAGTAATAAAAAATGGATATTATTAAAAGAAATATCAAAGATGCCAGTTCGATCAAGTAATTAGTATCGAATCAGTACGGTTTATGTAAACACGGAAAAAAGTGCAGAATAAAAAGAGTGAAAATTGATATGACAGATTTATTCTCGGCGACTTTCTTCGACTTAGATGTGAGTAGATAGATAGAATAAATTATTTTTTATACACATCATTGTATCAATTGATTAGAAATACTATAGAGCACCTGTATATAACGCCCCATTCGTATTTTTAATTATTTTCTAAATTTTTTGTAAATGTGATAATTAACAATTAAAATTAAAAAATATTAATCAAGAACAAAAATAAAATTCTATGGCATTATACGTCAGTTTGTATAAGAATAAGAAAAAATAGTGTTTAAAATTGTTAAAGAAAAAATGTTGTGTAAAAAAATGTTGGTTGTCACAAATTGCTCATAAAAATTTGTTTTTTTTTGCAAAATGTATATGTTAATAAATAGCATAAATATCTATAAAAGCACAATATTGATAATCATATTGAAAATATAATAAAAAAATTGGTGCAAAAATATAGTTTTCTAATTACTGATGATTCACTCAAGATTGTTTCAAACCTTTCTCCATTCCTGAAGTTTAGCTTTAAGCGTTTTTTTTTTTGAATTCTCGTTCTTTTAAATCAAATATCAAACAATTATATAGATCTGTAAAAAATCGTTTATCTTGGATGCATACACCTTTTATCTATTCTATCTCATCACATCTGGTTACGTTTATCTTCTAAGCCAACTCCATATAAATTTAATCGTCAAAAGCAGTTTATAAAAGTTTCGATTTCTTCTCTTATCTTCGATAATGTGTAACGTCTACGTGTGTGGCTTTTTGATAATTTCGACTAATGGCAGTTGTATTTAAATGATAACTCTTCATTTAAAGTTTAGTGAAAGGTGTAGGTAGACGTAGATAATAGAAGCACACCTGTTAAGGGACATTCCGTGCGATTCCGAGACATCTGTGGAGAATTCTAATTGGCTTCGAATAATTCCTGGCCCGAATATTTAGCTCTAATTAGGTAACGACTTTGCAATGCATTGTCGGCAGTTGCATAGTTTATGTAATTGAGTTCTTAATATTGTTAAAATGAGGGAAACGAATTGAAGACTTAGGAGATCGTCGAAACCGTAGAAAAAAATTATGAGGATATATTTAGAAGTATTAAACTATTACCGAGAGAATGAAAAGTTGTAATCCTAATGACATATCATTAGAACAAAGCGTTAAAAAAGATCATCATTCATTATGCTATTATCGCAATAAGCAGATATTTGCAAATTATAAAAAATATATTGAAACAAATTCAAGATTGTTTGCTTATTTGAGTTTTGATAAGGTGACCATACGTCCCGGATTGGGACAGTCCCGATTTTCCGCTTTGCATCCCCACTTTGTTCCGGATTGTCCCGGATTTTTAAAATTCTTTTGATTGCCAATATTTTTTTAACTAGCTGTAAGTGGAATTCTGTCTTAAGGCAATTAGGGCATCGTGCCTTAAGGCAAATTGCTGGAACTTCCCGTACCAAAAATTATTATTTTTTTTTTAAAACGATTAACATTTTTGAAAAAAAATTACTTTGAAAAAATAAGATTTTTGAGAAACTATAAATTGAACAAAAAATTAGTTTTTTTTGAAAAAAAAAATTTTAAAAAAAAATTTTTTTTTTAAAAAAAAATTTTTTTTTTTGAAAAATTTTTTTTTTCTTTATTTTGACATATTGTGGAAGATCTGAACTTTTTTTTCAAAGCAATCGTACTGCTTTAACTACATAGGGACAAAATATAAAGCGCGTAAGCGCCGCGTCGCTGTCTAACGCATAAGCATTGGTACGGAACCGATAGGAATGTTAACAAAATGTATAATTATTGTTAAAATCTCTATAAAATGTCTGATAATTTGATGTGCATATGTCTAATGATCATTTTTGACCGCCAAATGGCTCATTTTTTTACTTTTTCCTCTATATCTCCGAAACCGCTGGACCTACCTTCATGAAAGTTGTATCGATTCTTCATCTTGTCAATACAAATAAAATGTTTTTTGAATTATTAAAATCGGACGCTCCGTTCTCTTAAAAACTGAGTTACCGTTTTCGGAACTTTTTGCCCCGTATCTTCGGAACGGCTTGACCTGCCTTTGCCAAAACTAATCAGCACGTCTTCTTATCAATACGGATCGAATGTTTTTTGAATTATTCAAATCGGTTGATCCGTGTTCCCGAAATCGTCGACGAAAATTTGTATCCGCACATACATACACACACATACATACATACATACACACACACATACACACACACACACACACACACACATACATCCATTTTTTCTAAGGTATGCCAAAATGTTCAGAAACCTCTGAAACGTAAAGATATATAAAAATTTTCATTTTCGATTTTTTTGCGATTACTATAACTTGCCCTACGGGAAGTTAAAAATATTTCAACTAGAAAATTTGCACTGAAAAAATGTGCATATAAGTTTTTAGTTCACCAACACCCCCGCCCTCTCACCGCTCTCAATAACATTCTAATCCGTCCCGGATTTCATGCAAAAAATATGGTCACCTTAGTTTTGACCATATTTTAAAAATAAATTTAGTCATATGAATTAATAAGCATTAATTAGTTTAAAAAATTGATATTTATTATGAAAAAACAGCATTAACTAACGCTAAACTTCTATGATTAACTTCTGCTCATAAGTGGGTATAACCTTCAAATAATTATGATTTTATTTTTCTGAACTAAAAGCCTTTTTTTCTAAGAAAATACTATTGAATTTTTTATATATAAATATTTCCTGCGTTTCAGTAAAATGATAGTGCCCTTTTTATACATTTGTACACTTATTCCATTATATAATAATTGAGAGAATTTCATTTTTTCAATTTTTAAATAATTAAAAGAAATTATAAATATATAGAAAAACGATTTGTTTTCAATAGCTTCTACAGCAGACATATCAGGAAACTTCGTATATTCCAAAACATACAAAAATATACATAGAAGAAAAATTAAATAAATATTATATTTTCATGGGAGCCATTGATATAATATCGTTCAATCTTAAATATATTTATAAATTTCTTATGTTCGTAATATATTTGTACATTTCCATGCTTTAATAAAGTACATTTTAATTAGGAGCAAAATGCTACCACAGGTATAAAATAATGGCTGGCAGATTGTGAAGTTCAAGAATTATTTGCAATTAAAGGAATTCAAACTTTTGTTCATACTATACGCGTGCTATAAAGTATGCTTTTAATTTTATTTTTTTGCAAAGCGTAAAAACCATGTACAAAAAGCGTGTACACCTCAAGATGCAGATATCATATCCCTGATATCATTTTTCACAATCGCGTACTCATGACATTCTGCTAAATCAATGCTTTCATATCTCTTCGAAACGAACAGTAAATTCGTTCTGAGACTTACTGGAGACAGTCTTTGGTATTTTTGTCATTTAATTTATTCGGATAATTTTACTTATGGCAAGGTGAAGATAAAATAAATATTGTTAATATAAATATAAAGAGAGATCATGAGGCGATATGGGTATTTGGCATTCAGAATTTATTTTGAATAATAATAATAAATAATGATAATAACAATATGCCAGGTTTACCATATCATAGAATTCGTTTTTTTTATCCATTTAATTTCTTATTATTAGTTTTATTAACTTTTATTATAAGTACTTATTTTTAATTTCCTTTAAACATGACATTTTTAACCGTATTGCAAATGGCATCAATGTAGTAACTTAACAATGTAGCTTTTTATACTTTTATACTCTATCTATTAATTTTCTCGTCAATTTTTTGTAGCAAATATTTTTTCTGATTGAAAGAAGTATTTCAAAAAATGAACAAAAGAAAATCTATCCTGCATACGTTACGATAAAATAAAATCTATTTAATTGGTTTGCTAATTACATAGTCTTGCTAATTACATGTTAGTACATACATTAGTGTGTTTTTTCATATTTATGTGTAGAATTTTTTTATGATATACAGTAGTAATTGTAAGATTGTCGAATAATATAAAATTTCCATCATAAAAATCTATGTAACCAACTTCGAAAATTTAATTATAATACTCCATTAAATTCTTTGTTTGTGAGAAAAAATCATCACCTATCTTTTTTATGAGAAAATTATAACTTTTGCCGTAAATCTGAATTGATGTGCAATGAAACATAATGTGAGAACATTGTAAACAATTCCCTAACCAACTCACGAAATACAATTTAGAATCATACTACATTTTTTCATTCCATTTATGCAAGATTTCATCCCGAAAAGCAACCAAATAAAACGAGTTCATGGATTATTATGTTTGCAATAGGCGAGATCCCAGTATCATAGAAACAGAATAGAATAATTTATCATATAAATATCGTAATTATGCTTATTCTTACTTGCTAGTCCAATTTTAATCATGCGACCATATCGAATGGTATTTCTGACCGTGAAACGATATGGTTATTGAACGAAACATTGACACAAACATAAAAACCACTAGTTTTTTAATATTTTCTAATAAAATGACTGAATTACGAATCAAAATCAATTGAAAAAATACTTTAAACCAAAATAGTAATAATAGTAATATATTTATCGAATGGTATTTCTGACCGTGAAACGATGTGGTTATTGAACGAAACATTGACACAACATAAAAACCACTAGTTTTTTAATATTTTCTAATAAAATGACTGAATTACGAATTGAAATCAATTGAAAAATACTTTAAACCAAAATAGTAATAATAGTAATATATTTATCTAATGGTATTTCTGACCGTGAAATGATATGGTTATTGAACGAAACATTGACACAACATAAAACCACTAGTTTTTTAATATTTTCTAATAAAATGACTGAATTACGAATCGAAATCAATTGAAAAAATACTTTAATCCAAATAGTAATAATTTAATTTCGCAACAGATAACTTACAACATTGAATTTTCATTCGAATAGATTCAGGTTAAATTTTATTTAAATATATCGAGAGATTTTTCATGTATCGAATATATATATATATATATATATATATATATATAACATGCAATCTGAGCTATTACAACTGATAAAACTTCGTTCATTCATATTTTAAAAGCTCACATTCCGCTATTTTGGAATGTCTGTATCAAATTTCATATCTGTAATCTAATACTCGGTAACTAAATCATACGGTTAATTACTTTTCTTGTGTAAATATTATTTGATCCACTAATTTGTAAGTATGAATTATAATTTTGTGAGATTTAATGTAACAAATTATAATCATGTTGGAATGCAGTATTCAGAGCACGAATAAATAGTGAATAGACTAAACCGTTTTGAAAATCAGAAGTAGTATGACTTGAAATATGTTCAGTGTTTCAGAATAAGTTCAATAACTCGTCAATGAAATACTATTACTTATCTGTTTATATTATGAATTCTATCAGAAATTGGTTTATAAATTTGTTCTATGTAATAAATCACGTTGTACATAGTAATGAACGCACATTAAATATAATCTATATTTTTGTAGACAACATTGTTAATCAATATTTCACAGTTGAAGAATTTGTTTTTGTTTGAAATTTACATAGTGCATAGAAATATTTATATAAACGTCGTATGCTATGCATTCATTGCAGATAATTGTTAGAAGCTGTTGCTAACTTGTGAGAATTGTAACCATCACGAACGAAATTACTTTATCAATTTTTGTTTGATTAATTAATTTAATTTTTTAATTTTATTTTCAGTTCAACGCGCAGGACTTGTACGGCGGTTCGACATCGACCGCAAGTTCGTCCCTGGCGCTTGCCGCCGCCGCTGGTTCGCACAGTCTAGCGCACAGTAGCGGCGGTTCGGTCGGAAGCGGCGGCGGTCACAGTCCCTGCACAGCTTCACCGCTACTGCAGGCGCCGACGGCAACCGCTACACGGCCTACGAAAGAGGAAGACTTGTCTGTGGGTCGTAGGTCCGCAGAAGGTTAGCATCAAGACCCCGATTATATGATAAATTACTTTTATACTTTCAAGCATATACATTTACTTCATTTGTGACGATAGATAACAATCTTTTAAAGATTTTTATAGGTTGCAATTTGAAACGAAAAATTGAAACCACTGCAGAAATCATTACGTCCTAATATTCATTGCTATATAGATATTTCTCTATTCATGTACTAGCCGTTTTGCTGCAAATTTTTCAAACCCAATTTAATAATTTAAAAAAATTACTGGTAGTGACCATTTTTAAAACTTTTAAAAATTACCAAAATTTTGAAAAAAAATACATATTTTTGTTATTTTTTGTTTGAAAATCTTGAGTTTTTTTGAAGCGAATCACTGGGAATCAAATACTTGATGAATCATTAAAATCGGTTAATCCGTTCTCTCGAAATTTTTGTCAAATAATTGTATCCGCACATACCTACGCTCACACATACGCATATATATTTTTTTTCTAAGATATGCCCGGGTATGCCAAAATGTTCAGAAACCGTTGAAGCTTAAAGTTAGGCAAAAATTTACATTTTCGGTTTTTGCGATTACTATGAATTATCCCACGGAAAGTTAAAAATAGAAGAAAATACAGTAATAAAAAATATCAAACACAGGTATCCTGATTTGTAATTGAGCCAGCCCTTAACTACTTTGGAATATAAAGAAAAAGTAAAACTGCTATAAATGTTCAATGAAGATAAATAAATGCAAAACAAATTGGCCAATGTTTCGATTTTTTTCCATTTGCATTTAACATCATGTAAAAAATTGTTAACGCCCGCTAATTATTGTGAGGTAATACTCGAAATACCGCACATAAATCAAATTTTATCAAGAAAAATTATAATTATTACTAATGCTAATAAAAGCCATATGCCAAGCCATTCAATTATCATAATGCTAAAAATAATATGTAGATTATTGTGTACTACGAATGATGATGGAACTAGTTATAGTATAATTTATTATCCACTTCCACATGCTATTTGAAAAATATTTATATAACTCATAATTTGTCAAAGATAATTAAAATATAAAAGCAATCCTATAGTATAACGAATGATTTAAAAAGACATAATAAATGACCGATCAATTTGTTCCTATGAGAACGTGATTCTTTCTTGATAGAGATATCTCGGATTGACTCTGAAGATTTGGGATTGATTTCAACTGATAAATATCAAATGACGATTGATTGATCGAACAACTTCGCATTACTCTTGTAAATGTCATCTATCAATAAATAACATATATGAAATATTTTTGAAAAGGATATTAAAAGAGTTGTATACTTGATAGATCAGAGATCTAGAAATGAGGTCATGTTATTTTAGATTACCAGTTGAAAAAGCGTATGACTTAGAAACGAAAATTATATGACGATAGATTTCTCTATATATATATATATATTTTATATAGAATATATATTTATTTATCCACAGGTCCTTCTCAAGAAAGCGATTGTTCGAGTAGTCCGGACAGTCCCGTTCCCGGGAGTAGTTCAAGTAGTGGAGCCCGAGCCCAATACGTTTCAGCCAGTTGTGTTGTTTTTACGCATTATTCTGGGGATGCTGCCAGTAGTGTAGATGAACACTTCAGCAGAGCCCTTAGTTTTTCAGAAAAAAATGCCAAAGGTAAGAACCAAAATACACCAATTGTCCTTCAAATAATAACAGAAAACTACTTCAAACCCCAACGTATATATGTTAATGTAAAATTCATCTATTATCAGTGATGTTTTACTAGAACTAATATTAAGACCTTGGACACAATAGATCCTTTCTACTATAGCTTTTTTGTCAGCGATACATATCTGCAGGCGTGCATCCAGAAATATATAACTTCATCATTCACTGAGAATGTAGTCTCATCTTGTGGCAATAACGAATGCCGATCTTCAGAAACCGCGCAGAAGACATTTTAATAAAGCAATTTGTGGAAATCTTCACAATACGCCGCCTCCAACTCCTACTACAGAAGCGTTCACAGAAGCGCGACTCGTGCAGCACGCGAAATAATTATTGTTCTCTGCAGCTTTCCACGGTTTGCTAGGAAGGGAACAGGCACGAACTCTATTTCTTTGGTTCATAAATGAGAAAGTGACTGTGTAAATAATATTTTGAACTCAAAATGTATCGAAATCGACGTTGAATTTATTCTAGACTGAATGAACACCTTACTACATGGATAATTAACCCCCTATGAGTCCGCGTAATTTTCAGGTCACATTCCAAACGTTTCAATATATTACCAAATAATTATAGATTTTTTTCGTGAGATGGCACATAAGTTTTAATTCTATAATGTTGTCAAGACAAGCAATGTCAATACTAATGACCTTTGCTAAGCTTTCAACATAAAATAAGAATTTCATACACAGATCTGAGAACAATATAGGCCGCTGTGTCTTGAAAGTCCCAAAATTTATTTATAACAAAAAAAATGTTATGATTTGTTGTCACAGAATTTTGCATATATTAGACTAATTGTTGGTCCCTTAATTTTTTTTATGTAGAACAAAAATACAGCCCATAGATATAGAGTGTTTTTCTAATTTGCAACAAAAGTCAGCGAATTGACCCACCGTAGATCAATTATTCAATCAACTATATACTAATATATAGGCATAACAATTGCAAACTATAATGCTGGAACTTCCCGTACAAAAAATTATTATTTTTTTAAAAACAAGTAACATTTTTGAAAAAATTTTAGCCCCGCGTCGCCGTCTAACGGATAAACAATGGTACTGAACCCATAGGAATGTAAACAAAATTTATACTTATTGTTAAAATCTCTATAAAATATCTGATAATTTGATGTGCATATGTCTAATGTTCATTTTTGACCGCCAAATGGCATTTTTTTACTTTTTTCGTTAGATCTCCAAAACCGCTAGACCAGCCTTCATGAAAATTTGATCAATTCTTCATCTTGACTTTCAATGATTAAAATCGAACGCTCCATTCTCTTGAAAACTGAGTCAGCATTTTTGGCACTTTTTGCCCCGTATCTTCGGAACGGCTAGACCTGCCTTCGCCAAAAACTAATCAGCACGTCTCGTTATCAATACGAATCGAACGTTTTTTGAATTATTCAAATCGGTTGATCGGTGTTCCCGAAATCGTCGACGAAAATTTATATCCGCACACACACACATACACGCACATACACACACATACATTCATTTTTTCTAAGGTATGCCAAAATGTTCAGAAGGTTTTGAAACGTAAAGATATATAAAAATTTTCATTTTCGATTTTTTTGCGTTTACTATAGCTTGCCGTACGAAAACTTAAAAATAAATAATAATCATTGAAATTACGTGTTTCTTGGTAAACGAACAGCGGAATTGATGAACAGATCAAACCATTAAATTGCAAAACATTAAAAATTCAAGGGCTTTTGGTATATTAATTGAATTTCGAATATACATTTTCTTTCGACCCTGATAAAATCATCCCTCAAACATCTTTTCTACAGAATTCAACAATATTCTTTGTCTACTCATCATTGAGATAAATGCCCCTTCTCCTGTGTAGGTGTGCATTTACTCTCGAATAGAATCTTAAGTTCAAAGCCCAAAGAAAATCACAGATGAAATAAACCGGAAACATCTCTCAAACGAACCGGAATCGTTTGAGTAGCGAGAAAAGTTTTCAAATTAAATTCAGTTGTGTTGATTTCTCAGCAATTATCAAGAATTATTCGAGTTGTTGTTGCGGCTGGTTTCGAATGAGAAGTTGGCGCAAGTTATTTCAAAGTTATTCGATGTGTATTATTGTGTTTCTATTGATATCATAACTTATTTGTGCTTTTGTACATGAAATGGTAAAACTCTACCTACCTCCTGACTTGTACGTTTCATTGCTGACGTAAATATTACTTTTTTTTTTTTAATTTTATTTGAACAGCAATCAGAACTTATGGGTTCTATGAGCTGTTGTGATTAATATCTTACAAACTACGTTTGTTTTTATTACAGATGGCAACCCAAACAGTTGTCACATCTCTGTATGACAAATTTTTATTAAAATCTCTGTAATAGGGCAAGTATGGTGCAACAATGCCGGGTGAGGGCTATTTTCACTTGGAAACATATTGCTATCTATATTTCCAAGTGAAAATCGTTGTCAATAAATATTACATAGTATTCATAATTGAATTTAATAATATATTACAATCTATAATCTATATATATATATATAATATGAAAGATGCCGCGGCCACATCAACTATAATATGTAATTTCCACTATCTATAGATGCAAGGTTGTAGATAATACGAAGTGGCAATTAAAGCTATAGGGAGATCCTTCGAAGTAATTAGAGGTTTATGTGAAATTCACCTTCCAACATTCATAATAACCATAAGAGAAGTACCTCGGATAGGATATTAACTATTCAATATTCCGCTGAACTGTTGATAGTTAGTTACTGAATCTAGTTAATTGATTTTAGAATTTGATAACACAATATGAGAGGGCAAAATAATAAAGTGAAGTTTGAAAACAGGCATTGGATATTTATAGTATATTTTACGTAATTCAAGGATTTATGACGTTCATAGGATCAATATTTTATATAATTTATCAGATATCGAAATTCATATAAACAATTATGCATCATTAAATTCTTAGGTTATGAACATCTTTAGTCATTATTTGTGAAAATGAAATAAAATACGTTTTGGTATTGAGGTTCTTGGTAATGCGACTATAACTATGCCGATAGAAGTTATTAAGGAGCCGATATTCAGGTCCTTCAAGAATTACGCAGGACCCGAGCAAAACCTTAAAAAAGATCCGTAAAATTATATGACATGCCCCTCCGTTTGCTAGTGGCCATACTCTCGTATAGTCATAATTCTTATTATATGAGCTTTTATTCTAATGCAATTCTGTAGAAGGCAGCACTATAAGAAAGCAACGACTGATATACAGCAATGCCCCTGAAGCTATTTTGAATTTTAATCATATATAGATCTATATTTATTAAGTAAAAACTTATCACTACTGTTTGATTACCAGAGGCGGTAATAGAACCTGGAATCTTATGGTTTCATCTTATGGTTTCTCTTGGAACCTAGTACTCTTGATTTTGGAATTGTTGATTGAAACATCATAATGACGTATCTAACATATGCAATTTAAGAATATATTTAGTATATAATTCTCAATAATTGAACATTTAAATAAAATAATTCGCAGTACTTGTTAACCATTCAATTTCTCCTCAGAACCATTCATTTACTAATGATCAATGACTAAACGACCAGCAACAGGGTCTTCTGTGATTTTGGCAGCCGTTACTAATTAGTATTCACGAAACGCGCGAGTTTTCCTTGGTCGTTAAATCGGTTACTGCGTCTTGCCGTTCAATTCTTCTCGAAAGACCAATTACACAAACAATATCTTCTCTTAACGTCTGTTGTGAAAATCGCGGCGACTTTTAAGTAAGAAAGAAAGGACATAAATCTGACCTCAGACGTTCCGTGATACATCCATGATGCATCGTCCTTTTGTGCGGACTCGTAAATAGGTAATTAATGTCAAGATGTTTACTCATTCGAATCCGAATCGAAGTTTCGCATACGTCCGCATCGGCTAATAGCTTTAATTCTGTCAAAGACAATAAGTCATTTGATTATATAAAGAATGCTCATTGTCGTTTTGTTTACTTCTTTGTAAATTGGTTTAATGTAGTACGCGAATTCAATTGGGCATAGGCCAAGCAGTTGAACGATAATAGAATACGAATAGAATATTTACCAATTAGAACATAATTGTGGAATAATAAAGCTCTCAATATTTAAATATTTAAGCTTTCAAAAATTATTAGTATTTTGCAATTATATATATATATATATATATATATATATATATATATATTATGAATTTAAAAAGCTCTTACCTTTTCTGCATGCTCTTACTCCTCATTCAGCATGGATCTGAAACAACCAATAAAATTGTATCGTTATTATTCATAGCATTTATTAAATAAAACATAAGTTTTGTTTTACATTTAACAAACTACATATTTAGCGATAAATACCTTTCATCCCAAATGACGGATTATGATTAATAAAACAACATTGAGAAGTCAAAAAATAATAGGCGATGAAAAGGGATTGAAACACCGATCCATCAAGTGCTTCGGCATTAAGACATCTTAACTGACTCATTTGTTATGATAAAGAAGGTATACGAGTATATTGCAAACGTTTTTACCTGAACCTGCGTTAATTTAAATGATAATTCGACCGACCACATGCGGCGTTCTTTCATGAGAAAAAAAATGGTATCTGAGGCGCCAGCCGTCACAAAAGACAGTAGCACCTTTGTTAATATATCAATTTTTTTTACTAAATTCCACGATAAGCATTGGTAATTTATACCAGAGCCACGAAAATGTAATCCAATAGCGCTGTGAGTGGATTATTAAGGTAGATGAGTCATAATTAACAACTGTGAGAATTATAGAATTATGGCTTACAGTCAGTACTGTTTGTATTTCTTTATAAAATTTTATATCCGGCATTTTGAAATAAACAGAAAAGCTTATCAGACGATAAATATAGCACTTGATTTATAATAGTATATATCGGTTCATAATAAAAACTAATTAAGTATATT